TTTTGACAAACTGATAACAAAGCAAATTCTACCTAACTATAACTGTGTCCCTTTATATGTCGTCTAAGACAAATATCATTTATATTTTTTATCTGGGCAACAAATTAAAAATTCTTAGGAATAAGAAACAAAATAAGATGGTTACAAATGTAACCAGACTAAATATATAAGCTGTGTATATATATATAAAAAATCAGTGCTTTGTAACTAAATCTGAGGTTACAATAATCTATTATGGGGTGAGAGTAAGGGCCACCAACTCAAATTAGAATTTCAAAAGGAGTCTTTTATTAACTGCAGGGGCTGTCTCAGCAAAGTCTAAAACAGACTAAGTGAGAATGCATTGAGGGGGTCTGAAGTTGGGGTTTTCCTAGTTTAAAAATTGGTAACGAGCCAAACAGGTGGTCTGAAAGTTAGCAATGAGAAGCAAAAAGAAAGTTGGCAAAAGAAGCCAAAAGAGAGCACAGGGTCACGATGACCTCTTTTACAGAAGTGAACTTTGCAATTTAGCGGTTTAGCCAATAGGTAACATAAAGGGCAGTTAGATAACAATAAAGTAATATAATGCAGATTTAGTAACTAATGGATAAGTAAAACAATTTGTCACAGCACTTAGCTCATTAACTCTCATGATGACAGTTCTTGGCCCATTCGTTCCTATCTTGTCCTGTTGCAGCCTGATCTGGACCGATTTAAGAGTAATGGTACTTGGCATCATTTCATTTACCACTTTTTCCCATTCCTCCTACCCCGGGGGTGGTGAGAGGCCATTGTGAGGTGGCCAGCATCCATCTTATGGGGGTGATGAGGCAGCTGGCACCCATCTCAAATCCACTTGCTTTAAATAACAGTTCAATCACATATAACAGGTATTGTTTATGGGAAAACAGCCTCAAAAAGGATTATATATTGTATTTTATTTATATTAAATATAAGGGAAAAAACTAGATTGTTTACACTAATTTGATCCATTTTTGATCTAGCAAGAACTCAAAACAAAATCTAAAATTAAGAAATGTTACGAAGGCCAGACTAGGGCAGAAATTTGGGGATTAATTGGGCTTATATATATTAAAAATGAAAACAGTTTTTTTTTTG